TGTTGTTGACTTCACATTAAACCGTATGCCAGTTGCTGAATGCCAAAATCTAGCAAAGACTCTCGGCCCGTGGTCACGAAAGTGCTAGAGCCATCTGAGGATCTAAAGAACACGCACACGTAGCAAGAAAAAGGTGTACAAGAGCCCGAAGAGGTACTACTACACCTATGTATAATCCCTGCAGCACCGTACGCGTGCCCAAAACTGAACTTCACGTCTGTCTCATCGTTCGACTACAGTAAGAGCCGGTCTTAACCAAGAAATCGGTTCCCGCTTTCACTTCCCGATTTCATTATAAGACCACAAGATCCAAAGAACTCTCTTGTTGATTGGCTAAAAGTTCTGGAACCCGTGGAATCTTTAGGACATATAATCAGATCCCCCCTCTCCAAATCGGGAATAAAAAAAAAGGTAAAATGATTTAATCGGATCTCGATTTGGGTGAAACGAAACCAACTTCGAACATTAGCGGTCTACTCGCACGTACGGCGCATGCCCACCTACCCCCATCCACACGAACCCCATCCACCGCCGAGCACGGAGGAGAGAGAGAGCACATAGAGCCAACCGAAAGGGAGGGTGACTGCGCATCGTTATTGCACGTGACTGGCGCCGAAAAAAAAACGTGTGTGGGATGAACTGGCCTGTGGGGCAATCTCCCGTGGATTGTCGAACCTCAAATGCTCAGACAAATCGGTAACTTTCTGTTTGACGAGGCTCGATTCAGAGTCTCACATGCATAGACGTCGTGTCAGTACCCCACGCAGGCCATGTACGCGTTTGGTGTGTGCATCTCGGGAGCGATAGCTCCTCATGTGGTGTGGCCACGTCATGACAGACGTTACAACAGCAACTTGGCAGTCGGCAAGCGGCGGACCTCTCGGGTTGTTCGCGGTGGACTGCAGATATTCGTTTCCATCTGGCAGATCTCCCGTTAAGACACACAGGCCATTTCAGGTCGGATTCAGGTAGATCCGCCTCATGTATTCTTATAATCAAATTCGAAATCGGGAACCGATTTCTTCGTTAAGACCGGCTCTAACATCACCCCCTACCTGTCCCACTCTGCACCAAAATTACCAACTATTAATAGACCACCGGGACGTCCGGTCAACATTGGGAGGGGGCAAGTAATCTTGACATGGTAGGACGGAATATTGAGCCCCAAGTGTGGTTGGCATACGCGAAGATAGTGGAATACTCAGCGAGTGCTACGCTAAAAGTTAGTGCGAGAGAGGTATTCAATATGCAGCGTCACTCCAACCAAACCTAGGATACATGCTCGAATAACCAACATAGCAGTCCTTGGGTTCGTTGGACGCATACGCATGTGCACATGAACGCATCGCAGATTTAACCATTTGAGAGTAATCTCGAGGATCGGTGGTACACCTCTCGCCCACTGCTTGGAAGTGCAGCTCGTCGATAGTAGGGAAGAGCTGCTGCAACATGCGGTACTGCTGTCCGTAGCAAGGATACACACATTTGAAGCGCGAGAGGGCAACAAGAAAGGGTGCAGTTCGTCGATAGTAGGGACGAGCTGCTGCAACATGCGGTACTGCTGTCCGTAGCAAGGATACACACATTTGAAGCGCGAGAGGGCAACAAGAAAGGGTGCAGTTCGTCGATAGTAGGGACGAGCTGCTGCAACATGCGGTACTGCTGTCCGTAGCAAGGATACACACATTTGAAGCGCGAGAGGGCAACAAGAAAGGGCAGCGGAGAAGGCTTGCTTGCGTACATGTGTACGTACGGGGAACGTTTTCGGAGACTTTTGGATGCTGAATGGACATCATACGCGTAGTATCGTACGTACAAACATGACACGGGACACGATGCGCTTGTTGCTGTTGTAGGGACAAGAGAAGCAAGAACAGAGAGCGAGAGGAAACAGCGAGCGAGCGAGTGAGCGAGATACTCAGGGGGCGGCGTGTTGCCTTTTCATCGATGCACCTACGGCTCTTCATGTGTGCTGGGTTCTGCATATCTAGGCGTGCGAGACGATGCGCGCGGCGAGCTTTGATCTCACGAAGTACTACTTTCGCTGGGTACGAGGACTCGCAAGTTGACCTTGGCGAAGAAAGGTACAGAAGCGGTGCGTGTGCATTCGTTCGTGTGCCCGTTGTTGTGATTCAGCGTCATCGCCGCCCGAACCCGCCCCCGCCGTCTGGAGCACCCTCTGCCCCCATCCAGCCACTACCCTCGCCAAAAGCCGGGTGGAGAGAAAGAGGGAGATGCGTGCTGCCAATATCTTATTCTCTTCTCGCTCTTGCTTCACGCACCTTTCGGCAGTTGTGGCAAGGGTTGACGCCATCACACTTTCGCTTTCGCCGCGAGCAGAAATCGCAGCTCGCTCGCCGCTCTCCCGACCCGGGCGCCTTGCTGCCCCCGCCTTCACGATCGGCATCCCCCTCGCGGTGCCCTCCCCCTCCGCCTCCTCCTCCTCCTCCTCCTCCTCCTCCTCC